GTTTTCTCCCCCCCCCCCCCCCCCCCCCCCCCCCGCACACCCAGGGCTGAGATGGAGCCTGAACCAACATACATGCTCTTGACAGGAATCGAATGTGGGACCCTTCCGTCCACAGGCCAATGCTCTATCCACTGAGCCAAACTAGCTAAAGCAAATCCCACAGTTTTTGATATGCTGGGTTTTCATATTCATTTTAAAACATTTTCTTATTTAACTAATAGATTATTTAGAAGTGCATTGTTTCCAAATATTTGGAGATTTCCCAGAGATCTTAATCTTTTAGTGATTTCTATTTTAATTCTTTGTATTGCTTTTAATTCTTTTAAATTAGACTTAGTTTATGGCCTAGAATATGGGTCTGCCTCGTTCCATGTGCTCTTCTGTGCTGGGGGAGTGCCAGTCAGTCAAGTGAGTCTGCCTGTATCCTCCCGACTTTCCACTTGTTTTATCTCCCTGGGTCTTGTACACACACTTGTTTTTGAGTTTGTTTCTGGAAAGTCCGACACCTGCTGCCATCCTGCCCTTTTATTCGTATAGATGTGCCAGCTCACCGTTGATTGCGCACTGAGTCCTGTAAGAGAAGAATTACCTGCTTGGAGCGCACTCTCGGGTGCTACCTTCCTCCCTCCTGACGGGATTTTTTGTTTGTTTTTACTTCTTCCAGACACAGGGTGGTGCTAGTTGTCTAGACTCGTGTGACTCTGGACTCCGGAGTGATTTGGAAGTACTTTTTCTGATCTAAAGGCATCTCTCGTGTGACATTTGTCTCGTCACAGCGGCTGGGACTCTCGGAGCCGGGTTAGCTCCAGGTCTATCCAACAGGAGGCCCCTCGGATTAGTGGTTGGTGTTTTCGGGGAACCCAGCATCTGTGGACAGCCCTCCTGCTTCCCAGGGCCCTGTTTCCCCAACCATCTCAGACACCTTCCCACAGACCCAGCTTCCCGTTGGCCAGAGCTTCCCCTCCTGGTCCAGGCGCGAAGATTAAGGCTCTTTTCTCAGGTCGCTCCTACAGCATCCCTCAGCACCTCACTGAGCGCCCAAGACCTGGGACCTGGGAGTCCCTAACTCCCAGGTCAGCGTGCCCAGCCCCTGCAGGGCCCCCCTCTGTGCCTGCAGCGGAACCGCCACAGCTTCCCCACAGGCTTCCTTAACTGCACCTCCTTCTCGGAAAACAAGCCAGGGCAGGGGCACCACTTCCTGCCTTTTCTGCAGAGATCTTATCTTTATCCACACACCTCCTGGGCCCTCCTGCCAAAGCCGCAGGGCTGGCCTCCTCCCATGAGGACCCTTCCCCTTCTTTCTCTCCAGCCTCCTGTCTTATAAACAAAAGGGAAGGAAACCCCACCCCACAGCCTCCCGCTCTCTGCCCCCCCTCTCCCCTGCTCACGCCTACTGGCAGGATGCCCCCAAGCCCCTGTGACTGGCCCTGGAGGGGCTCGGACTGTCCCTGCCGCCCTTCCATCCACACTCCAGCCACCGTCATCCTAACCTGCGTGGGGCCTCCCGGTCCTGCTGTATTGACTGGACGGTCAGCTTGCATTTCCACGTAAACTGTAGAATCATTTTTAAAAAAATGTATTTTTATTGATTTCAGAGAGGAAGGGAGAGGGAGAGAGAGATAGAAACATCAATGATGAGAGAGAATCATCGATCAGATGTCTTCTGCACGCTCCCCTTAGCCCCCCAGTGGGGATCAAGCCCGCAACCCGGGCATGTGCCCTGAGCGGGAATCGAACCGCAATCTCCTGGTTCATGGTTGGATATTCACACCCGGGCTGGGCGATCCTTAACATTTTTGTTGCCTTTTTAATAACTAGCTATTTAAAAGAATTCTCCATGTAGAAAAACAAGTGACTTTCATTCATTGACTGTGTCCAGAAGCGTGCTAAACTTTCTTGTGAATTCTACTAACTTATGTGTAGATTCTTCTGGATTTTTTACATCCCCAGTGGCATTGTCTGTGAGCGATGAGGGCTTCACCCTCCTTTCCAGCCCTACGACTCCTCTGCTCCTAACTTGCTGCCCTGGTTAAGGCCTCCAAGGCAAAGCCCAGGTGAGAGTGGGCCCGCGCTGGTTCTGACTTCAGAAAGTAGGACACTTGCTGCGGTTTATGTTTTGATGATATCTGTTATCAGATTAAGGAAGTTCTCTGCTATTTCTGTGGTAGGCAGTTAGACAGACATGAGCAGAGCAAGGACGATGGGCAGGTCCAGAAGGTCACGGGTGGGAAGCCCAGGTGCCTAGCAATGGACAATCCGCTGCAGGGAGGATCCTGCCCCCAGGTGACTTTTCCTCCCCTGGCATATCGCAGGTCACGAGGTTTGGACCCCCTGACCTTTCCTCCAGAGATGAACATCTAGGCCTCAGCTCCATTTCAGCTCCAGGCCCAGAGAAGCAGCAAAACCCGTCACTGCTGGCGGCAGGACCAGCTGCTTTGGATAATGACCCCCTGCCCTGGTGCCGCCAATCGATCGGTGGAGACCACAACCCTGAACGGACACACCTGGAAAGCTGCCGAATATTCTATTGAGATCTTCCCCTGGG